TAACCGTCAATACGGTTTTCGTCGAGGTCGGTAATCTTCTTATCTACCTGAGTCACCGAAGGGCGGAGGCAGTCGAGAGCAATGGGGAAGCATTGGCGGTTAGTTTGGACATATTGAGCAAAGGCCTCCGATCGGGTTTCGAAGCTTCCCTCGTTTGGGTTTCCCGAGAAAGTATGCAATTGAGTCACCAGTTTTCTTACAGATCGGAGTACTAAGGTCGTAGCCAACTATGCATGCTCCGACTCCAAGCTTGTGAATGCGGGTGTTCCACAAGGCTGCGTACTATCGCCCACCTTGTTCCTTCTGCAAATCAATAATATGTTGCATACTAGTAACATTCATTGTTATGCAGACGACAGCACTGACAATGCTTTATACACTGGCCGTGCTAATATTTTTCGGGAACACGTCATCGAGTGCCGAAACAAACTTGTGTCTGAAGTCGAGTCTGTCGAACAAAGTATCGGATTGGGGGCAATTAAATCTAGTTCAGTTTAACCCCCAAAAGGCACAGATTTCCGCGTTTACCGCATCACATCATGTCCTCTCATCATATCAGGTCCTTTCACTTGACCGTATTTAAGAGGCGCAGAGTGGCCCGAATAGTCGAAGTTCTATCCGATCGGCTTGATCCACTGGCCTTGCAAAGTGACATTCCATCCCTATGAATATTCTACCGCATATTTCACGCGAAGTGTTCAGATAAATTATTCGAATTAATTCCAGCTACTGAGTTCCACCACCGTACACTACGATAGAACTCGAAATTCCATCCTCATCGTCTCGATGGCTGGCGGTCCACTACAGTGAGATTCACGAGGAAATTTTCTGGCTCTCACGACCATCAGTGGAATATACTGTCGCCAACGATTTTTCCGGACCGACACCACTTAGGGACCTTCAAGAAAAGGACCTACTCCTTTCTAGAAGGCCGGTCACGCACCTACAATTCTCCTGGTGTTGCGGGTGTTCACGGGTGACAGCAATCACTTACCATCAGGTGAGCCGCAAGCTCATTTGCCTTCTCTTACATAAAAAAACGTGGTAGAGCATTTTATGGTTGTAGCACAAAAATGTCGGCTCGACGAGGGATGGACCACGCTCTTACAGAATACTAGCTTAAAATACTTATGTATTTATTATCTTTATTTAATATTGTGTATATTAATATTATTACAATTATTATGAGAATGCACACTAAATCTGCTTTTCTTTGAACTGCATAGTATCGGGCCTGTTGGAAGAAATTTCGGTATAAAATAAGCAGTGCCTTTGTAAAAAATATATTTTAATTTTTACATTGTAACATTACTTTGTGTGTACATTTATACGTGGTAGAGCCATTCTGCAGCTATATTAGTAGTATAGTTGTAGCACGAATGGGTCGGCTCGACTGGGGAAGGACCACGCTCTCACAGAATACCAGCGTGAAATGGCAGCTTAACGCTGCTGTGTTTCGTATGGTGAGTGTAGAGAACCGGAGAAGAGAGGTTAAGTAGAGTACGGAGTAGAAGGAACAGAGGTGGAGTTGGAAAAGAGGCATTCCATCTTAGTCCTCACGGGTGACGACGCATCTGCATTTTGATATTTTATTGAGGATAAATGTAGATGTCTATGGGTCACAGCAACCACTTACCATCAGGTGGACTGTGTGCTCGTTTGAGACTCTATACTATAAAAAAAAATGTTAAATAAATTAATTAATGAAATGTTTAGTTTAGTCATTTACTACTATTTTTATGCAATTTTCATAGAAGCCGTGGTAGCTCAGATGGTTAGCGCTCGCTGTAAGCTTCACAGTACTCGAGCAACCCGGGTTCGACCCCCGCCGGCACCAATGAAATTGTTAATTGCAATTTTGAGTGCTGATTTACCACGTGCTCGGCGGTGAAGGAAAACATCGTGAGGAAACCTGCATGTCTGAGAAATAAGAAAAAAAATATTTCGAAGACATTTGAAGTTCGCCAACACGCATTGGGGCAGCGCGGCGGACATTTCCTTGCCCTAAAACTCTCTCAGAAATGAAAGGAGGCCTGTGCCCAGCAGTGGGACGTAAAAATGGCTGCAACTTTACTTTTTTTTTTCACTTTTTCATAGAACAATATTAATTTGATCTTTCATAAAAGTTTGGATTGACGAGGATGTCGACTACCCTATTCTAAACGTTTAATGATATTCAAGGTCCCTATTAAAAAGAACTTCCGTAGAGTTCAGCCGAACACCATTAAAAAAGAATTGGGCGGATAGCGTGGGCGCGATGCGCAATCGTCAATGATCCGTCATTATCAAACTTAAAGAAAGGGAATAATGCTGCTTTAACCTACGTATAAACTGTACCGTTCGAATTAACAACTTTCCTGTCCTCAAAAAAGATAAACAATCGAAATGTTTATATTATATGACTCACGGGACAGTGAAATAGACAATGAAAAAACTTTTCTATCGAGATAATTACGTGTTAACGTGTTCTCCTATTATGCAATTTAAGATCCTATACTTAATCAACAATCATATAACAAAAATTTGATTCGTAGTCTATAAACCATAAAAAATATGAAAAGTAGAAAAACCACCAAATTTTTGAGGTTAATCACCTTAAGTTTCAACGAAGACACCAACCAACTTTTCAGTGGTAGAGCCACGCGGCAGCTTTTGCTGTCGCACGGATGGGCCGCCTCGAACCGGGGTGGTACCACGACCTCACAGAATACCAGCGTGAAGTAGAGGTTTACCTCTGCGTTTCGCTTGGTGAGTGCAGGTGGCCGGAGGCCCTTTTTACTGGAAATGAGGCATTCCATCTTAGTCCTCACGGGTGGCAACGCATCTGCATTTTGATTCGCAAACGAGGATAGATGTAGATGTCTATGGGCCACAGCAACCACTTACCATCAGGTGGACTGTGTGCTCGTTTCTAACACTATCCTATAAAAAAAAACCCAGTTGACGACACCTAGTACCCTTTAAATAGTTTGTTTTCATTCTACAAATATTTAAGGGACTTTAACCGCTTAGCGTATGTCATTCCCATCATACCCTAACCTATGTACTCGTACATCACTACTCATATAACATTAATTATTATACTACGTAGCGTGGGCTATGAATTCGAACAGAACTTTCGCATCGTCGCCATTTGGCTGGGATAAATTATAATGATATGTACCTACGTCAATTCTGTTGAAATTCAAGGCCCTTATTAAATTAATTCTAACCAACTCAAATCGAACACATTCCATCAATAAATGGTGTAGGTTTTCTTAACTCCACAGCTTTCACAATTGGGCGAAGTTATTTTCCTCATCATGAAGACAAATTTCTTACACGGAACGTGTCCAGATCTGAGTTCTATGAGCAGTAGTAACTAATTTTCTACCGAAACAGAAACGTTTTTATTCAATATAGATTATAAATAATACTTATTGGAAGTCACTCTTTTGTTTAATTACCTCTGGTTCGAAAAAAACTTCTATCTTGAGAAGAACCAGCAAGAAACCCAGCGGGACTTTTTTTAAATAACAGCTTACAATCATTTAATTACAATTAACCATACAAAACAAATTAGAAATAGCTTGGTAGCGATCACGCATTCCCAGAGGTTTATTATCATCCATAAATTCCTTAATATTATAATAACCCTTTTTATACCATATTGTTTAATAAAGTTTTTGGACTTTGAGCAGGTCAAATTTTGTATATTTTCTGGAATTTTGTTGTAAAAGCGTATACATCGCTCCAAGAATGAATTACTGACTCGATGGAGTCGAGTAACTGGTACTACTAGCTTGTGTCTGTTTCTAGTGTTTACAGAATTAATATCACTTATTTTTATATAACTACTTTTATTTGTGTGTACGTTTTCATAAATGTATTGAGGGGCCAAAGTTAATATTTTAATTTCCTTAAATTTTTGTCGGGGCGACTCTTTAGGTTTTAAATCATAGATTTTAAATCATGCTGTTATGGCCCTCTACTGTAAAACAAATATAATTTGTGTCAGCTGTGAGTCCCCATAGCAAAATACCATACGACATTATGCAATAGAAATAGTTAAAGTAAACAAGTCTAACTGTTTCCACACTGGTAAGATTTCTAATCTTTTTTACAGCATATGCTGCAGAACTAAGTAGTATTCATGAACCAGGGCACACAAATAGGCTGACACTGTATGGTTTTATACGATATTCCTTTAAAACCTTAAATAGTTACAAAAATTTTTTTTATTCCAAGGAAAACGTATAACATACTATATTATTTCTCTATCTCCTCTCTTTTCTGAGAGGGTTATGGTGCGCCGCTCCAGTGCATGTTGGCGGACTTTAATGTCCTCAAAATATTCCAATATTTAAAACATTTTACGTGGTAGAGCCATGCTGCAGCTATATTATGGTTGCTATTTGAAGAACCACGCTCTCACAGAATACTAGCGTAAAATAGCAGCTTAATGCTGCTGTTTTTTGTATAGTGAGTGTAGAGAAACGGAGACTATTTTTACTGGAAACGAGGTATTCCGCCTTAGCCCTCACGGGTGACAACGCATCTGTATTTTGATTCGTAATCGAAAATATATGTAGATGCCTATGGGCCACAGCATCCACTTGCCATCAGGTGGACTGTGTGCTCGTTTGTCATCTTTAATCTATGTAAAAGTAACTAATCTGTACCGTTCGATCAGCTAGAGCGAAAACACAACATGGCGCATTGTGTTGACGGCCACGTTACCCAGAAAAAAGATGGATTTTACTTGAATTTTTTTATAGAATATGAGTGACAAACGAGCACACAATCCACCTAATGGTAAGTCTGATGCATAAGAATCAACATTTATCCTCGATTAAGAATCAAAATGCCGATGCGTTGTCACCACTGAGAACTAAGATGGAATGCCTCATTTCGAGTAAAAAGGTAGGCAATTGGAAAACTACAAAAAAAATCTTTATTTTCATATTAAGTTTTTCCAATTGAAAATTTTTTTATTTCATTTTTTAAATATCATATTACAGTAAACTTGTCAGCCCGAACACAGACTTGTATTACACGTATGCCGGCTCTCTCACGTCCCCGCAGTGCAACGAGGTCGTCACCTGGATCATTTTCCCTGAAACCATATACATAACAGAAGCACAGGTATTTAATATTTACACAGATAAATTAGGTTATTTGCCTATGTTCTAATTTTTTTTAATTATAAACAAAAAAACATGCGTGAGTGTCGTGGAACTGGCGGTTGGAACGAAGTTTCTTTCGTAGTATATTATTATTGATATACGTATTATATTGTTGAATAACAAATACAAATAAATGATTTACTTCTATTAAAATGAAGTGTCATCTATACAAATAAATAAAATTGAAGTGTCTGTTTGTAATATTAAAATAACAGCTTTTTACTAAATGCATATGAAAGTATATACTGTACTAATAACAAAAACACAATTTTTAAAATTTTTGTCTGTCTGTCGGTCTATCTGTCTGTCTGTTTGTTCCGGCTAATCTCCGAAACGGCGGGACCGATTTCGATGGGACTTTCACTGGCAGATAGCTGATGACATAAGGAATAACTTAAATTACTTTTGTTTTAGAGAAAGAATTAGGGTTCCGCGCAAAAAAATTAAAACCCATGAAATCCATATTCCACGCAGGCGAAGTCGCGAAGAACAGCTAGTTTAAAATAATATTTCTTTCATGGCAAGATAAGAAAAAGTGCGAGGGAGATGGATATTATTCCATCTCGCTCGCACTATAGAAAGGTGTCGTGACGGAAAAATCTTACACTTTTTCTCGCCTAGCCCCCATCCGTCCCCATCCGTGCGATAAGGAACTTCGTTCCAACAAAGCTTTAAATATTTAAACGTAATATAAGTTTATTTAGAAGTCGTGGTAGAGTCATGCTGCAGCTATGTTAGTAGTATGGTTGCAGCATGAATGGGTCGGCTCGACCGGGGAAGGACCACGCTCTCACAAAATACCAGAATAAAATAGCAACTTAACACTTCTGTGTTTCATATGGTGAATTTAGAGAACCGGAGAACCTTTTTACGAGGAAAGAGACATTCCATCTTAGTCCTCACGGCATCTGCATTTAGATTCGCAAACGAGGATAGATGTAGATGTCTATGGGCCGCAGCAACCACTTACCATCAGGTGGTCTGTGTGCTCGTTTGTCACCCTACCCTATAAAAAAGTCAGTAGGCGGCAAGATTCCTTTCTTAGGTCAAGTAGGTGGCAAGATCTTAGCTGTTTCTTAGCTTTCGTAGTATCGCAATATTACGCAATAATGACATAAAAACAAATGAAATTATTTCTTTTGTCCATTGTAATCTTAAGACCTATCCGTTGGGAGACACTATTGAGGTCATTGAGCATAGTGTTTAGGTCTTCCAGCGATTCTGCCATGAGCACTATACTGTCGGCAAATCGAAGCCATTGATGTTAATACCGTATCCTTTTCAGTCCAGTAGCTTGAAAATGTCACCTGTTTCTGTCTCTTCAGAATTCTTTGAGTAGTGTTAGGTTAACATCAAGAGATGACTGTCAAAACTATGAGTCGCAGCAACCACTTACCATCAGGTGGACTGTGTGCTCGTTTGTCACCCTTATCCTATAAAAAAAAATGTCTTAAATTTATATATAAAATACGAAGAAACTTTTGCCCGACCTAATAATATCACATCTCCTCAATCTGCATTAGTACCCTTGTGTTTGAAATTTGCCGTCCATGGCCATCGGTGGCCACTCCCTATTAAGTAAATCTTGAGCTACGTTATCTTAGCCCTTTTTCATTGATATATATACGCCGCACATACTCACGCACGCACACACGCGCGTGCACAAAAACACACATACTCACACAAGTCACGCATAAGTAATAAGCACGCGTGTGTTTTAAAATCTAAATGTTAATAAACATAAAACCACAACTTATGCCTTTTTTTTATTTATCAAATTCCGCAGTACAACCTATTTGAGAAAGTGCGCGGTCGTCGCTATAACTTCAGAAGCCTGCAGGAGGTGAACAACCATCTTGTGTTCCAGCCACCTGTCGGCTTTTTCAAGACACCACAAATTGTGACCTCATTGAAGAATGCGGTTTTGACAGTGGCGAAGATCATCCAAAATGTAACCAGGTATCATGATATTTAACATCCATTGAATTTTTGTTCTTGATGACAAATTATTAATAACCATAACACGTTATTATTTAATTTTCTTCTTTTATTAAATGCCACGTCCATGTCCAAAGACGAGCCGCCCTTTATATTTAATTATTTTTAACGAAGTAGGGCCACGCTGCAGCTATATTATAGCTGCAATACGAATAGGTCAGCCAGACTGGGGAAGGACCACGCTCTCAGAATACCAGCATAAAATAGCAGCCTAATGCTGCTGTATTTCGTATGGTGAGCGTAGATAACCGGAGACGCTTTTCACAGGTAACGACGCATGCTATCTCGGGGTTGACAACGCTTCATTTTTTGATTCTCAATCGAAGATAGATGTAGGTGTCTATGGGCCACAGCATCCACTTACGATCAGGTGGTCAAAATCTCTTTCAAACAAAAGTAAACAAACAACTATTATTTTTCAGATTCATGATGAACGGAATGAAGACGCCTTAATCAACAGACTCATTCCTAAAACACCAGATCCTATCTTGTAAAATTAGTTTGTGGTCATTAAAGCAAACAAAGAAACATGAACGGAATAAGTTTATTTAGATAGACAAATACAAAGAAAAAGCTTGGCAACGTTCAAAATACTTCACTTTACAGTTGATTGGGGACTATGGACGACAAGAGAAAGAAAGAGATAGAAATATTTCGAAAAAGAGCGTTAACGCAAACAGTCATTTAGAGCACTTTTCAAATAACATACATTATCTTACTTTCTTAATAACTGGCTTTACGGCTCTGGGATCTAGCCCTTCTGAGCCTGAAAAATAAGATACATTTACTTGTTTTTACTCTGAGTAGGTATATACCAAAGACATATTATTCTTTCTTAATGTGTAAAACGCTATTATTATAATATACTCTTTAGTAGTGTGACACATAGTGTTAAAAAAGAGAGACCTATATGATGAAGATACATACTGTATCTAATTTAATTCATGAATATAAGATTTTCAGAAGACCAAAATAAGACTTAATGAGAATTTACAGTATTATACATTTTAAAGTATATCGACTTTATTTATTTCAGATTCTATACCAGTAAATCTTTTTGACAATGACATGATTTTATTTATTTTTTACCTTCAATTTTATATATGTTTAATAAATAAATAAAATTAAAGTATATCTCTGTAATATCAATAAAACGCCTTTTATTGAGCTCAAGAAGTTATTTGCATGCAATTAAGACATGATTAACCATTTTAAAATATTTGTCAGTCCATCTGTTAGTCAGTCTGTCTGTCTGTTCGGGCTAATCTTCATTTGACTGTGATGATATTTCACAAACATATGAGCAATGCCAGGAAGGAACTTAGTTATATATTTTATCCGAAAAACTTGGCGATTTTTCTGTGAAACGAAAAAGTTTATAAAATAAGTAGCAAAATCTAAATGACGCCACATTAACTGGTTCCGCCGAGACGAAGCCGGAACGGGTCGCTGGTCTATTCTAGGGTTGCCAACCGTCCTGTTTTGGACCTGTCCTGGGATGTCCTGGATAGTTTTTAAACAGCGTCCTGGGTTTTTAAAGCGCCCTGATAAGGTCGTGTATTTTAAAATTCGCGCGCCACTGTTACAATTCTTACGTTACGGGCGGCCTTACGGCGTTTTTATTTTCTTGTGAATACATAAAAAGCGAAACCGAACCGATACTTGCATACATAGTACATACATTCGCCACGTTATCGGTTCGGTTTGGTTCGCAGTTATGTTTGACAAGGCCTTTACTGCGTCCTGTTTTTAAACGGAATTGTCTTAGTTTTTCTGCGTTCATCCGATTGCGGTAAAACTTTATCAACATATTGCATGCACTTCCGTGAAGGTTATAGGCATAGTACAATTAACTTACAATAGGTGGTGCGCGTATCGTATTTGAAAGTTATAATGGGTTTTTCAACAAGAACTTTGTTTTCTAAAACAAAATAAAACAAAGAGTTTAGATGAAGATGATTCAAATTTTTATTGTATTACGAAGAGAAAAGTTTGGTAATTATGAATGAAAAATGATATCTGGCAAATGTCCACCACGGCCACGCTGACAGATGTCGATTCTTTCATCAAAGTTTTTAATCACTTTTTGGCAAAATGGCGGGTCTATTTCGTTAATCACGTCACGGATTTTGAGTTTTAAGGCCGTGATCGATTCGATTGGCTCCGTATAGACAAAAATAATCCAGTGGTGTTAAATCACACGATCTGGCTGGACATTTAACAGCTGAATTTCGTGAAATTATGCGATCGGGAAATTTGGTTTGAAATAAATTGATCGTTTCGTTGGCTGTGTGATATGTGGCACCGTCCTGTTGAAACTACATGTTTGTGATATCGATGTCATCAATAATAGGCCAAAATTGAGATGTTAACATCTCGCGATAGCGTGATCCATTGACCGTTACCGCATTTCCAGCCTCATCTTCGAAAAAAAACGGCCCAATCACGCCTCCAGACCACATAGCGCACCATACAGTGACACGTTGAGCATGCAAAGGCTTCTCAATAATCGCTTTAGGATTTTCAGAAGCCCAAATGCGGCAATTTTGCTTGTTGACGTACCCTGACAAGTGAAAATGGGCTTCGTCTGAAAAAATGATTTTTTCAGAAAAACCAGCGGGCTGTTCCTGAATGAATTGAGCGAATCTACGGCGATGTGAATGGTCGGTCAGCTTCAATTCCTGCACCAGTTGAACCTTGTAAGGCTTCAAAGCCAAATCCTTACGCAAAATTCGCCATGTGGTGGTTTTGGATAACCCCAATTGTTAAGAACGTCGAGGAATTGACAAATTTGGATCTTCTTCAACACTGTGGCTCACGGCTGCGATGTTTTCGGTTGAACGACCCGGTCAAACACGCGTTGGTGTTGGCGCATTTTGTACCGAGCCTGTCGATTCAAATTTAGCGACCAAATTCTTAATAGCAGTCTCAGAACTACGATTATGTTGTCCGAAAATATCACGAATTTTACGAAACGTAACTTTAACAGAACCACCATTTTCATAGTGGATTTTAATTATTTTAATGCGATTTTCGAACGAAATTGAATTCATTGTAGCAATTGCCAAAGCATCTACTACGAATAGGTCAAAAAACTAAATGTCAATACTGTCATGTTTTTGGTGTTGCCCCAATTGAAAAACAAAGTTCTTGTTGAAAAACCCTTTACATCACTCAACTTCAATGAATGTATTATCGATAATCCTTCCAAATTATACGTGGTTGAGCTATGCTGCATCTATATTAATTATATAGTTGTAGCACGAATGGGTCGGCTCGACCGGGGAAGGACCACGTTCTCACAGGATACCAGCGTAAAATAGCAGCTTAATGCTGCTGTGTTTCATAATATGGTGAGTGTAGAGAACCGGAGACACTTTTCACTGGAAAAAGAGTCATTCCATCATAGTCCTCACTACTGACAACGCATCTGTATTTTGATTCGCAAACGAAGATAGAAGTCGATGTCTATGGGCCACAGCAACCACTTACCATCGGGTGGATAGTGTGCTCGTTTGTCACCCTATCCTATAAAAAATTAACACTATTGTTAAAAATGAATTTGAAATCATAGACACCTATATAATAAATTATCATTAAGTATACATTTGCTTCAGATTTAATAAATCATAAAACCATAGAGCAATATATATAAAGAGATAGAATAAAAAAAGCGATAGGATATAGGTAAAAATAATAAGATTGGTGGGTAATGGGGGGCTAATAATTTATTGCTCACCAGATGTCGCTAGTTGACACTAGGAATCAAAATTATTAATTAAAAAAGCTGAAGGTACTCCGGTTTAACTCTGACATCGGGACGTCAATCACCTCAGTCCCCCGTGATCACGGTTGCTGGAAAACAACCGAAACGTCGGGAATATAAAATAAGTTAATTAAACGCGATCAAATCCGTAAAAATTGTTTTATCAATTTATATCTACTTATTTAAAACTATATTTCCGTTATTATTTCTTCTGCAGCTGCAACGCAACCGGGTAACAGCTAGTAACCTAATAATCAATATGAAGTGTCTGTTTGTAATACCAAAATAACAGCTTCTTACTAAATACATATGAAAGTGTATACGGTACTTATAACAAAGCCTTTTATTTTTTGTCTGTTTGTTCCGGTTACTCTCCGAAATGGCTGGACCGATTTTGACGGGACTTTTACTGGCAGAGAGCTGATGTTTTAGGAAGTAACTTAAGCTACTTTTATTTTAGAGAAAGAATTATGGTACCGCGTAAAAATATACAACCGGGCAAGTGCGAGTCAGACTCGCGCATGAAGGGTTCCCGTACCATCGTTCAAGATTTAATACTTTGCACTATGTAGGTACTTTTTAAATATAATTTTATTTTATTATACATTTTTAGGATATATAGCAATACAAACTCTGTGAGCATTTCAAGAGTCCACTTGTTGCCATTATTGAGATCCAGCAAAAAAATAAGCAAAAAAAAATGTTTCTAGTAGGGGAGACCCCTTTAATTTTTATTTTTATTATTTGTTGTTATAGCGGCAACAAAAATACACATTCTGTGAAAATTTCAACTGTCTACCTACTACGGATCAGTAATAGGCTTAGTATAGGGTCCCGGTAATTACCCTTTGGGTGTGGAACCCTAAAAACCATAAAAGCCAATCGTAATAAATTCCACGTGGCCCAAGTCACGGAGAATAGCTATAGTATTAAATAAAACACTTATTTGTAGTTTGTCTTTATTTAAATAATATTAATAATACACAATATGTATGCACACATTCTTTTATACAAATCTCACGTCCCGACTTAACACAATATATTAAAATATACAGTTTACAAAGATCATACAAACACAAAGTTCTAGTAACTAATATAACGAAATTAGGTCGTGTACTAAATTTAGTATCGATCGGAGACAGGTCCGATTGTCTATGTGTCAAAATGTGCACCTTACAAGTTTCGTAATAAAGTCGATGTTCGTACGACGTGTTTATCTTTTCTTTATGTACAAAAACGAATACATAAATGTGTCATCAATAATCAAAATAACAAAGCTTTATTTACTGCAGCCTTATTTACTTTTAATTTTATTGTGAATTGTTTACAGACATGAGAGTGACATACATGGATTTTAGTTTCATAGTTTGTAGTTTAAGAAATTTTAAATAATAAAATTAATAAGCGCATTATGACAGTTTTGCTGGACATAAAGTGTAAAGAGATGTAGCTTAAACCGTGAAATGATGTTGTAAGAATATTCACTACCCGTAGATATTCTGTGGGTTTCCTTATTATCATTCCGTGGGTGTCGCGTAAGGTGTCGCCTCCGCAAACATATGTAACCACGGCAAGCGGGTTGGCAACCGCAGTTTTTTATTTTATTTTTAGTTGTTATTAGGAAGACGATGCTGCCTATCTACTGTTTTATTTCCCTCTGTCACCTCTTACGACACCCACGTGATGATATGGGTTAGTGGATATTCTTATATAGCCTCTACACGGTAAATCGATGGATAAACTTAGTGGCAATATATTTAACGTTCTTATAACTCAACGTATAGTTAACTTTGTGTTATTGTCTCACTAATTCACAGTAAATTTAACTTAGGGGGACACGCATACAGCAACAAAACAATGTTAATAAATAATTTATTTCCGATCAAAAAATAAAAATTTCGCAATGTGGGCGCTTTTCGGAACTTTATATGGCAACAAATAGTATAGTCATCCTACATGAATTGGCCTCTTTTAAGTATTCGTGACTGACGACTTCATAGTCTATGTCATTTAGCAATAAAGACACGGGTCAGCAACACGAAGCAAATACAAAGAGGAGATGGCATACGCAACTGTGCACCGTGATTCTAACTAGGTCCCGATGTCATCACAGTGGGCGTGGCTTTACTTAGTATACTGTTAATTTATTAAAAAGGTTCTAGAAAAATGTTTGCGTCGGCTTTCAAATGTGATTAAATATATTCGACACTAGATGGCGACACTTTATGTCATGGGAACTAAAAATATAAAGTTACGTAGAGCTCAGTATTGGTAAAATAATCATACGAAGGTGTTGAAATTTGTTTTGCATTCAGTCCTAAAGAATTTTTATTCGCCAAAATATTATTTTTATAGTTTTATTATCATTTTGTGAACAGGCCGCCATCTATCGTCAAGGTAGCTAAACTACATTGCAACATCGATATGGAACGATTCGAGTAGTTTTACCATTTATCGGTAGATGGAAAATAATAAAGTAGGCAGGGCTTAACATCCTCTCACCCCGCAAATTGTCACGCGTTGTTACATAGTGAAATCTAATTACACCTCTTTGTATTTGATCTGTGGTCAGCAATAACTGAAGATAATTAAAAAACTGCGGTCGCCAATCCGCCACCAAGCGAGCCAACTATGACACATTTACCCCCTATGAGGTAATTTACGGGCCTATGTTCTTTTTTTTATAGGATAAGGGTGACAAACGAGCACACAGCCCACCTCATGGTAAGTAGTCGCTGTGGCCCATACACTTCTACATCTATCCTCGAATACGAATCACAATGCAGATGCGTTGTCACCCGCGGGTATACCCATTAAGATTGCATGCATCGTTTCCAGTAAAATGGGTGTCCGGTTCTCTACTCTCACCATACAAAACAGCAGCATTAAGCTGCTATTTTACGCCGGTATTATGTGAGAGCGTGGTACTTCCCCGGCCGAGCCGACCCATTCGTGCTACAACTATACTACTAATATAGTTGTAGCATGGCTCTACCACGTGTTCTGCAGGGAACTTGTGATAGGCGGATATACGTACAATATAATACAAAACAATTTGACACAAAATTCAATTATTTTGAAACAGAAACAGAAACTTTTTTATTCAATATAGATTATAAATAATACTTATTGAAAGTCACTATTTTGTTTAATTTCCATATTTGTACTTAAAAGCTTTTAGAAAATTTACCTAGCCTAAATCACACTATCTGATGACTTTGATAGTGTGATTTAGGCTCTCATTGTTGTTCGCTCTGTCAATGCTATAACGGAGCGATGACAGCGCCACCATAAACTTTTGGCCACTGCACTAATGTCTAATTTAAAACTGATTCTGCGGTTGCGTCAGCGGTCTGAATAAAAGGCAGTTGTTTTGGCTCGCCGCTCACTTAGCGATTAGCCACCGTAGAGTCTATATCACCTGAGGATGCCTCGTGTAGAGGCGAAACACGTATCGTATTGTCGTCAGTGGTGTGTCTTGCCTAGTGTAGTGGTGTTGGGAGTAGCGGTGCTGGGATTAGTGGTGACGGGGATAGTGCACGCAATTGAGGGAGGGCGGGAGGTGCTCTTCATACTAGGTAAGACACATCATTTTATTTTATAACGCGGATATTTGCAAAGTAAATTTTTTACAAGCTTTTATATAATGGATTTCCGCAAAGTGACGCCTGATTCTATTAATTATATTTGTACTTATTTCACATAGAAGCGCGCTTAAACATATTTCTTTCACTTTTTAAAAATATATCGAAGATGTGCCAGATTAAGAGTATCCTTAACCGACGAGCGTGTATGCGTAGGTATATGGAGGTAAAGGAAGCGAGAGAGGTGTGTCACGATCTTACCAAATGAAAGTCCGGAGTCTCTGCCTACCCCTCGGGATGAGCTTAAAATCAAAGTAAGTATATAAAAGTTCCATTGTGTTCGAAACATCGTCATTCGAGAGATTCTCGTTGAAAGGGCACTATCGGAAATTTTTATTTCCTGATCGGGTTTTCGAATATCTAGTTTATTTTGTAACAAACAAAACCTATATTGCACTATTAAATCTAAAAAATACCACTTGCATTCCTTACAAATTTTTGTACAACTTAAGGGACCTCAAATTCCGTAGTTCCGAAACTCGAGTTTGAATACTAATGTACATTTATCGATTCTACTTTTCGCACCAATAAACCACGTATAACTCTCTCAAACAATATTTGGTATTACTTGTCTGTTGTTCGATTAGATGTTACGTATGATATAAGTTTTGAAATATTCAAAATAAAAGGTCTATTTCTTATAAATTATTCATTATTATTATAAAATCTGCTTGGATATTGCGACTAACAAGGATCATACAGAAGGGCAGCAGCATATTTCCGATAACAACTGAAAATAATAAAACTATGGTTGCCAACCCACCTGCTAAGTCTGGCAATTATGGCAAAATAATTTGGGAATTTAAGGCAATCTTTGAAAACTCAAGGTCTCTTGATAGACTGTAACGATCATATTAAAGTTACTCACGTACTAAGAAATTTAAAAGTCCCCAGCTTCGAACTAATGCTCCTAATTTCCGCTGTGTTAAATACTAGTATCGTGTCATTCTAAAATATTCTTAACGGTCATCACAATAAGGAACAAAATCATCTACATCTGTACAAATTATACACAAATGGCTCTACCTTGGCCGTGTTTATAATGACTTGGCGCTGACGATTTCTTTCAGCCGCTTCTCGATGTACTGCACCCTGGTCACCAGCTTGTCCTTGGGGTTGAATTCTGTGTACGGGATTTGGAGAACTTTGAAACCCTGAAAAATGTTTTAAACAATTTTAATAAATAAAACTTTGAACACTTGTTGCCATAGACCAGCGTTGTAGAGCTGGAAACTTACACTGTTTAAAAACTTGAGTAGTTCAAACGTCTTTCTCTGAATGACTCTGATGCCCTAATACTCGAACGCTGTTCAGTTTTTAGATGCCATTAAGTGTCGTGCTGTCTCTATCACTTTAATTCAAAGTGACTGTGACACCACGAGACTTCCGACATCTTAAAATTGAGAAGCGTTTGAGTATTTTGATCATGAATGATATAAATACAACTTGATTGACATAATAATTAATATACATTTATATAATTTATAAGTACAGTATTTGCAGCTACAGATATATTGCTATTACATTTTGGTGACGCAAACTCATGAGATTTTACCTATCCAAAGACCTTCCAATGCGCATTTTATGCGCGAGACACGTCACACTTATATCTACAGATATTATATTGTTAACATTAGCATGACTAAACTAAACTAAACTTCCCATAAATACTATTTTTTAAATGATCAGGGTGACAAAGCGAGCACACAGCCCACCTGATGGTAAGTGGTTGCTGTGGCCCATAGACATCTACATCTATCCTCGTTTGCGAATCAAAATGTAGATGCGTTGTCAGCCGTGAAAACTAAGATGAAATGCCTCTTTTCCATTAAAAAGTGTCTCCGGTTCTCTACTCTCACCATACGAAACACAGCAGCATTAAGCTGCTATTTTACGCTGGTATTCTGTGTTCCTCCCCGGTCGAGCCGACCCATTCGTGCTACAACTATACAATTAATATAGCTGCAGCATGGCTATACCGCGTTTAATACTTCGGGTCAAGTCAAAAAAGTCCCGGCAACTAAAAACGTTACCCCCACTCTAGGATTTTCTCCTGTATCCTGGAGACAGTTTGAGTATTTGGGGATAAGTAACACAGGCAGAAAGACACGCTAGTGTTCATTTGTGGACTTTTGATTAGCGGTAATGATCTTTATATTGTTCAGTTAACAATTTCTAGTACGCCGTACTATACCTTCATCTCCAGTAGCCTGGTATAAAGTTGGTTGACTCCTAAAGGCACTATAGTCTTTCGCGTCATATCGTGATAGTCCAGCCCCAAAACTGCTATCCTGTTGACACTAAAACAAATTTAAATTACAATCTATTACACAGAGTAACACACAAACATTTTTGAATTCGTAATATTTTTTAATGCGATCGTGGACTCCATAAGTCTTCTTGTCCAAATAATCAAACAGCCATGTAATAATATCCACTATCCCATATAATCCCGTAGGTGTCACGTAAGAGGTAACAGAGGGAAACAATTCAGGAGATGGGCAGCAACGTTTTCCTAATAATAAAAAACGTCTAAAAATATAATACTGCGGTTGCTAACCCGCTTGCCAAGCGTCGCAACGGTAAATATACCCTCTATGAGTCAACCTAATGCTTTGGTCTGGTGATCATGACGCACAACGCTGCGGTATGCGGTATGCGATGCCGGACACTCAATCATATGAAAAACGTCGAGAATGTTCTCTTGTTCCATCGCAGTATGCGTCAGCGGCGAAGGGCAAGCGCGGTGAAGTGGGGAGGTGTATTCCCGCACAGCGCGGCGTCATCCTCGTTTCTTCGCTGCGGTGTGCGGGTGTGCGTCACGGGTTGACAATATGGATTTTTTGTTCATGTTCACGTCTACCTTGGTAGCTGTGGCAAAATCAACTGACCACCTCTCCGCAGGGACGGTAAATGCTGCGTCGTGACGATGCGTTGGGGCGCATACCGCAGCGTTGTGCGTCATGATCACCAGACCAAAGCTTAAGGGGGAGGCCTATGTTCAGCAGTGGGCTTTAATATGCTGTAATGAATGGATGTATAGAAGATAATCTACCAGGAGCACATGACCCACTGAGGGGTGAAATTATTAAACTATGGCAAATATCCACCCTGTGCGTCAACCTAAGGTGGAGTCCTATGTTCAGCAGTGGACTTTAATATGATGTAATGTATTTTTTAATTAATACATTTTCAGTGGCACAAATTATAATGACACGAATTGGAATAAAATCCAGAAAGTGGTTGTGTTCCGAGAAAATCCTGAAATTCTAATGGCCAGTAAACTATCCAGTGACTGTTCTGCGTCACTAGCTATCACTGCAAGTTCATTGGCAATTAAACTGGACACTAATGAAATCTATGTTTTGGTGAAAATAATAAAAAAAAGAGTAATTATGTTATAAAATAATTATAAATTAATTAGTTATCATTACAAACAAGATTACCGATACAATTTTTAACTTTTCAAACAAAAATTTTAATTTATTATTTCTCTAATAAAACTCAATCATTATCAATTATTATAAATTTACGTGGTAGAGCCATGCTGCAGCTATCTTATGGTTGTAGCACGAATGGATCGGCTGGACCGGGGAAGGAGCACGCTCTCACACAATACAGGTGTACTCCTGATTTGTTTCCCTCTGTCGCCTCTTACGACACCCACGGGATGATATAGTGTAGTGGACATTCTTACACCGCCACTACAATGTCAATATTCATTACCTTTTGTTATTTACAGCTTTTTGCAAGGGGACTGGATGACATTTGGAGTCTACCGCAAACTCCGCATCTGTAGAAATAATAAAAAAAATCCTTTATTTTACTTGTTTTCATTTTTTTATTTATTAGACTTCGTTTATTTATTAGAGCCTATTGAACTGCTGAAGACAGGCCTCGACGATACGATACGACGGCACCGCAGTGGCTTAGCAACGAGTTGCAGCGCTGAGTGCCGGAGGTTCGAATCCCGCGCGGAACAAGTATTTGTATGGCCTATAAATAATTGTTCTCGGTCTGGATGTTAGTCCTAGTTAAATTTATGTATGTAAACTGCCCCCACGATACATGAGAAAATCCTAGTGTGGAGGTAACGTCTATATTAAAAAAAAAACTAATAAATAAAATAAAATAAATAGTTGCCACGTTTAACAGGCGGGTATGTTATGTTATGTTATGTTATCAGGAAGATACTACTGTCCATCTCCTGTTTCAGTTTCTCTTCACACGACACCCACAAGTTGATATGAGACAGCAAAGTCTCCTGTCGGCACTTATTTTACCATTTACCTAACTTTTTTATTTCAATCTTTACAACCTGAAAGCCTATTCACTATATTTGTTGACAACATAATGATCGTCACTTTGTAGTACGTTGCATATTATATACAGCTTTTCTATAACAGCTACCACGTCTAATAAAACATATCACGCAATGTAATAAGAAGTTAGTATCGTTTAGATGTCAACTAAGTTTGCTTAGGCATGCTAAGCTTAGTTATGGGAAGTATTTTTAAATAAAATCTATTAGTAAATCCAATTGAGCATGCCCTAATCGCATTAAAAAAATTACGTATAACATTGTATACGGAATTTTTTTAAAGTAGTTTAAATACACACAAGTTTTCACTAATAACCTTATTATACTTCCAATTTTCCGATAATTTTATGTCAATCTTTAATATGAAAGTTTGGAAAATCCAAAGTGGACGACTCATAATGCTCATATGATCATCATATCATCATTCATGTCACTCCATAAAGTCCAAGACGTCATCATTCATCATCATTACAGCCTTTCATAAGTCCACTGCTGAACATAGGCCTCCCCCAAGAAATGCCACAAAGCACGGTCCTGAGCCACCTGCATCCATCGACTTCCTGCATGCCTTACCAGGTCGTCACTCCATCTCGTGGGGGGTCACCCTACACTTCGCCTACCGGTACGAGGCTGCCACTCGAGAACCTTTCTTCCCCATCGGTTGTCGGTTCTTCGAGCTATATGGCCGGCCCACTGCCACTTCAGCTTACTAATCCGTTGGGCTATGTCGGTTACTCTAGTTCTACTGCGGATATCCTCATTTCTAAGTTTATCACGCAGAGAAACTCCGAGCATAGCCCTCTCCATAGCTCGCTGAGCGACCTTGAGCTTCCTCATACGGCCAGCTGTGAAGGACCACGTCTCAGTTCCGTAAGTGATCACTGGCAACACGCACTGGTTGTACAATTTCGTTTTAAGGTTTTGAGGTATGTCTGACGAGAAAATGTGTCGTAGCTTCCCGAACGCTGCCCAGCCGAGTTGAATCCGTCGATTGACCTCTCGGTCGAAGTTGGACTTACCTAGTCGGACTATTTGTCCCAGGTAAACATACTCGTCAACAACTTCAAGCTTAGTGTTCCCAACAACTACCGGCATAGGTGTGACATGGACATTAAACATGATCTTTGTTTTGTCCATGTTCATCTGAAGACCTATCCGTTGGGAAACACTATTGAGGTCATTGAGCATAGTGCTTAGGTCCTCCAGCGATTCTGCCATAAGGGCTATATCGTCGGCAAATCGAAGGTGAGTGATGTACTCGCCATTGATGTTGATACCGTATCCTTTCCAGTCCAGAAGCTTGAAAACGTCTTCCAATGCAGCGGTGAAGAGTTTCGGGGATATGACGTCACCCTGTCTTACACCTCTCTGCAATTGGATAGGTTTCGTACTCTGGTTCTGTACTCGGATAGCCATCGTAGCCCTACTGTACAAGCACTTCAACACTTCGATATACCGACAGTCAACTTGGCACCGCTGAAGGGACTGCAGCACCGCCCAAATTTCGACGGAATCAAAGGCTTTCTCATATTCCACATACGCCAGACATAGTGGCAAATTGTACTCTTCGGACTTCTGTACAATTTGCCGAAGGGTATGTATGTGGTCTATGGTGCTAAAGCCCTTTCGGAAACCGGCTTGTTCGGGAGGCTGGAAGTCGTCAAGTCTGCGCGCGAGACGATTCGTAATGACTCTCGAAAACAGCACGTAGACGCGGCTCAGAAGGGAAATCGGTCTGTAGTTCTTCAAGAGAGCGTTGTCACCTTTCTTGAAGAACAAGACCACAGCACTTCTGCTCCACGCCTCCGGTGTAATGCCACCATGGAGGACGGAATTAAAGAGCTTCTGAAGGACTTCAAGTACCGGTCTTCCACCCGCTTTCAGAAGCTCCGCTGTAATTCCATCCTCGCCTGGGGCCTTACCGTTTTTAAGGTGCTGGAGAGCCATTCTTATCTCGCTCAGACTGACGTCCGGGATATCTTCGGAATAGTGTCTGATAAGACTCGCTCTTGGATCGTTACTCACACTTGCGTGTGGCTCCAACGATGACGTGTAAAGCTGCCCATAGAACCTCTCAATCTCACTCAAAATCTCAGGTGTCCCGGAAACGATGCTGCCACACTCTATCTTCAGTCTTGACAGTTGGCTCTTTCTGGCAGACAGATCTCTGGCAAAGACTTTGGAGCCTTGGTTCCGCTCGATCGCTTCTTCAATACGAGCTGTATTAAAGTTGTGTAAGTCCCGCCGCATGCATTTGGAGATCTGTCTGTTCAGATGCCTGTATGCTGTCAAGTCTGTTGAAGAATGTAGCCTCATCTCCCGTCTAACAGCCATGAGATTAAGAGTGTGATCGGAGAGTTTTTGTGTTCTTCTGCGGCGGGTCTTGCAGAACTTAGCTCCGACCGCATGGACAGTTTCCACGAGCTTGTCATTCATATCGTCCACTTAATTGAAGTCTTCTAGGCACTGAAAACGATTTTGTAACTCGAGCTGAAAGATTTCGGGACTTTGGAACAGAGCACGAGGGGGACGAAGCGTTGACTTCATTAGACGAGACCTCTCCAACTTAACGTTAAGGTTCTGTGTGCCTCTAACCATTCGGTGATCGCTACCAGTTTTCACCCTCGCGATCACGGAGACATCACTGAACAGTTGTCGTCTGGTCGTCATAATGAAGTCAATCTCATTTTTTGTCGAACCGTCGGGGCTCGACCAGGTCCACTTCCTGTGGGGCCGCTTCTGGAAGAAAGAGTTCATCATAAAGAGTCCCTCTTTCTCCATGAAGTCGGCCAGCTGCTGGCCCCTTGGGTTCCGTTGCCCTATTCCAAATTTCCCTACTTTCAGCTCACCGTTCTCTCTTGTGCCTAGTTTTGCATTGAAGTCTCCCATTAACACCGTATATTGGGTTTTGGAGGAATGCATGGCTCTAGAGATATCCTCATACATTTCCTCCACCTCCTCATCGGGGTGTGCCGAGGTTGGTGCGTAAACCTGTATGACCTTCAGCGAATACCGTTTGGTGATTCTGAGTATAAGGTACGCAACCCTCGTCGACACACTCCCGATCTTTACAACGTTGTTAACGAGAGACTTGTGGAGGATAAATCCGACACCTCCTTGGGACAGATGGTCGCCCTCCCGGTGATAGAGCAAGTTGCCGGATTCGAGGATTACCGTGTCCTCCCCCTCTCTTCGGACTTCGGATAATCCTATAATATGCCATCGCAACTTGTCTAAGTTAATAAACTGCGGTTGCCAACCCGCTCGCCAAGCGTGGCAACTATGGCAAATACCCCCCAAGTCCAAGACGTATTTAAGTATAAATATTACATCCTACTTACTTTTAGTACGTACTACTATTTATTGTGCTTTTAAAATATTATAATAAAAATCTCTGATTATTATAGTAATGAAGTATGTATGAAATTTCTTTTTAATATTTTGTATTTATTTGTACAGCGATCTTTTTGAGCCTCTACCAACAACCGATACAGTATTCACTCACAACGTCGGTTGACGCCGAACTTACCGAGTAAGGCAGTCTCTATTTACTAAAATGAATTCAAACAAGGCTGCTAAATCACCGAAAATTTCGACATTTAGCAGTCGAAAAAAATTAATTATAACTAAACAAAACAAAACTAAACTGCCATTTACATTCAATGGCTTCTCACATGATAGATGAAGAGTTTTAAAAATAGATTGAGTCGAACAATTGATATTTTCAAAACTTATCGTGTTTACGAAGCCATACGGACTTGATAAATCCACACCATAAGCCACTAAAACCCCTTTTTTATATAAAAATAGCAATTAATCGAATTAAAAAAAAATATTAATAAGTTGAACAATCATTTATCTTTCTGACAATGTGCTTTTTATATCATTTATATGTATGTATAATATGATTGCTAGATACGATTTCATGCGACAAAACGTTGGAATCTTAATTTTTAGGCGCTAGTAGAACATACTTACGCGCGATGGGCTTACGGCATTCAATTATATCGATATAAAATTTTTGTATTTATCTACTTTTATTAGGTACTTAGGCTGTTTTTCTTCTCAAGAGGATTTCCAGGAATCAAAGAGGATTTCCGCATATATTAAAAAGAACTAAGATACAATGTCTTTATAAATGTTCCCTCGGTTTAAGAGACTTGTGGAATATTTAGAAACAATGGCAGGAGACCCAACGGAGCCCATTACGTGATAATATGTACGTGAACACTTTGGAGGCCACTTAACTCAAGAATTACTCGTTTAGAGTCACGGCGGCATCAGAGGATACTGAATTGAGTGAATGGCGCAAATATAAGTACTTGAGAGGCAATAACATATAAAACACATTTGCTGTTGAGACTATCTTTATCAATTTCACACACGGTGAAATTTCTTAAGGAATTGTATCCTCGGCTGGAACAAAGAGCTTCATTCCTTACCCAAATATATAAACATACACGTATCAATGCAGCCACAATTCATGGTACTATACCGTACCGAGAGAGCAGGATTATATGTTTATTTCAATTTTTAGATTTGTGATTATAATAAATATTGTATAGGTATTATTATTATATGTAAATAAAAAGCACTTAATATAACTAAAACATACCATATAAAAATCCCATGTCAGAATTACAATTTTTCTTTAAAAACGACTCTGCAGACACTAAAGTTTTAAATGTGTCCATAATGCTTTGTACATAGAATGCCTTTTCCTTTGTATAAACTATAGGCACGCCCACGGAAATGTCTTCGGCCAGCCGTGGCGTTTGTGACGGATATTTGAGGCTGACGTACGCATCAATAGCAATCAGTTTGCGACGAGCTGGAATTGCGATTTCTGGAAATAAATTGCACAATAATTAAAATAAGATTGTGTCAGCCCATTGATTAACTTCACTCAATTAACTTTTTTTATACGATAAGCGTGACAAACGAGCACACAGTCTACCTGATGGTAAGTGGTTGCTGTGGCCCAAAGACATCTACATCTATCCTCGATTACGAATCAAAATGCAGATACGTTGTCACCCGTGAGGACTAAGATGGAATGCCTCGTTTCCAGTAAAAAGGGTCTCCGGTTCTCTACACTCACCATACGAAACACAGCGGTGTTAAGCTGCTATTTTACACTGGTATTCTGTGTTCTTTCCCCGGTCGAGCCGACCCATTCGTGCTACAACTATACCACTAATATAGCTGCAGCATGGCTCTACCAGGTACAACATTATATTCTGCTTGAGTCATCATCAACAAACAAATTTCTACAATAGTATGATGCCACTGGCACCACAATCTCATTATATTTATTTTACTATTCATGCACAATATACAATATACTACCTATGCGAACAGTACCACAACCTCACAGAATACCAGCGTGAAGTAGAGGTTTACCTCTGCGTTTCGCTTGGTGAGTGCAGGTGGCCGGAGGCCCTTTTTACTGGAAATGAGGCATTCCATCTTAGTCCTCACGGGTGACAACGCATCTGCATTTTGATTTGTAATAGAGGATAGATGTAGATGTCTATAGGCCGTAGCCACCACTCACCATCAGGTGGACTGTGTGCTTGTTTGTCACCCTTATCCTATAAAAAAAAACATTATCATTTCTCATTTATTTAAATAGATAAATAACAAAATTTTGCTATAAAACACTTGATTGTAACCAATTACATGTCTATGTTTCAAAATATCTATAATTTACATGATAATAAATGATGTTTTAGAATATAATATAATAATTTTTATACTATTTTTATTTTTATAAATTACATGTTATTCTTATTGAGCACTGGTTCGTAAAAACCTCTGTCCTGGGAAGAACCAGCAAAAAACCCAACGGGATTTGTTTTTAAAACATGTCACTTTTTTGTACTAGATTTTAAATGAATTTTAATTGAACCAGCATGATGGTGATCACCTCATTCCCGGGGGTTATTTTCATTCTTCATGTATTCTTTGATATCATAATAACTCATTTTGTACAATTTTTCTTTAATGTTTTATTAAAGAAAAAACTGTTTTGACAAATTTTTGACATGGTCCCATAAATAAAAGAGTTACTTACCACCAGCTGAGAGCAGTTTATCGATAAACTCTGGCCTTAATGTGGATATTAAGTGCTCTTTCTCAGCTCTGTTCAGTGTCAGGAATGAGAACACAAGATCCAACCATGATGAAGGCTTCGCCATTTCCTCCTCTTTAAGGGATAACGCTGTCTGTAGATACACAAACAAATTAATTACAATTTTGTATCCCTAGGTTTTTCGGTGTAAGAATATCCACTTCCCCATATCCCGTGTATGTCGTAAGAGGTAACAGATGGAAATAAACTAGGGAATGCGCAGCAGCTCCCTGATATCAAAATAACGGTCGCCAACGCGCCTACCAAGCATGGGGAACTGTGGCAAAATGCTCCCTATGAGGCAATCTATGGGTAAGGCCTGTGTTCAGCGGCAGGCTTTTATAGGCTGTAATGGACTGGATGATTCTTAGGTTTTTATCTTTATTTTCCTGGGTGGTGGCTTAAAAGAATTTAACGCAGCATTTCGGCCCAAGATCTCCTAAAAGGCGACTATTAGATATACACAAAAAAAAAGCTAATAGCTTGCAATAGATGGCAATATAATCATCATGTTCACGTCGGACGGAAATTACATACACAGAGTCCTCAGTGGCCGTCGGACGTTCTCCTGACTTCCGTTCGTATGAAAAACAAACGATAATACAATGAGTTTACAAAGAATAAAGGTGAACGCACATTTGTCCCCACCGTACGCTCCGAGTATTACTGGTGGTCTCGCACATTTGCACGTACGCATCGTCCACGCCGTACGCAAATCTTTTGTATTACCAACAACTTTTGTAGTTTGTTCCAACCACTGGTGTGTAACAGTACAGTGACATTGATTGAATGATCCATTTGAATGATGGACCCAAATGACCCAGTTATGACAAATCAATACTTGAAGGATCGGGTCACTAGAAGTGACTGATCGCATTCTCACATCCCCCAGCCGAGCGTGGTGTTACGAAAGACCTAAAAATTAATTTAAGAAACCTATAGCAGTGGAAGAAGATTGAAGACTCGGTGGCGCAGTGGCTTAGCAATGAGTTGCGGTGTTGAGAGACGCGGGTTCAAATTCCGCACGGACTAGGTTGGAGTTTGAACAAGATGTTTATCCTTGTGAAATTTATATAATACTAGCTGACAAGGCAGACGTTGTTCTGCCCTCTCCGACGACCCTGTGCCCTATAAAAATTCTTAAATTCGTAATAAAAAATATTGAGGGTCACTTATAGGGATAAAAACTATCCTATCTCTCAAGTTGGACCAAACTGCACACAGTGTGCAAAATTTCATTGCAATCAGTTTAGTAGTTTAGGAGTTCATCGCGGACAAACTAAAAATTACGAATGTGACACGTAATTTTTATATATAAAGAAGATGAAAACTGCCTCCATGATATAGAAAATTATAGAAACGTTTGATAAAAACTAAATTAAAAAAGGAGAATTTTTGACTCATTCTTGTAATCTCTCACTTTCGCGGTCCTCGGCGGTTCACCTCATTGCTAAGGCACTGCGCCAGTGAGCGGTCATTAGAGCTCTTTACTAAATCCACTACTGAACATACGCCTCCCACAATCAGCATTATAACTAGAGTGCCCAACCCTCCCGGATTGCCCGGGAGACTCCGGTAATAATGGTTAATCTACCGACGTCCCGGGGTACAATAATTTCTCCGGTTTTTCTAAAAATTATACGCATCCGTCGCTCGCACTTGTCACTACTCACTCGCTTTGCGGTCACACCACGCGCCGCTGCCGGTGTAACGCCTCGCCGTCGACGTTGTCTATTCGGCGGTGTCTGTCTCTGTCACGCACGCCACGTGCGCCTCGTGCGTGACAGAGACAGACACGGCTGAATACGGTACTTTCCCAACTTCACAAATATTAGATGCCGCTCGAAAGCAAAGTAAATATAAATTTAAAAATTAATAATTAATTGAATTTTAACTCGATTTCATAAAGGATTCTCCCAGGTTGGTCCTTTCGAGAGTTGATAATTATAACTTATAGTAACTTAACATCACTCTAGTGGCCTACACTTCTTTTCTCTTTTCAATTATATATCACCACAGGATCATGCCTAGCTGTAGACATTTACAGACTGATAAAAAGAAACCCAGCAATGACAAATTTCACTTTTAACTTTAAAACAATTGCTTACCTCAAACAGTGTATCGCTCATTGGAGGCACGAAGTCAACGGTTCCAAAAGTTATGATTGCGGACGCTATATCGCTTGCTCTGCACACACTCTTATGGCTCTGTAACCATTCCCCGATAGCAGTAAGAACACCTTCATGGCGATACTTTAATAGTCCAAGTGATACCACTATTGAGTTTACTACCGCTGGCTTGTCTTCATTTAATGGCAGATTTTCTATGACGTCACTAGGATAAAAATACCATAATTAATGAATGAGCATGGGATCTGCTACATCACACTGCTCGGCACAGATTCAAGCCTACTTTATTTCCTGAGTTTTCCTGGAGTAAAGAGAATCAGAATTTAAATTGCAATTTTAAGTGCTGGTTTGACGATGAAGAAAAAAATCATGAATAAATCTGCATACCTGAGGAATAAAATATTATGAGGACAATAATGAGTGATTCATTCTAACTGCCGCCCATATCAAATATGGGCGGGAGTTAGAATGAATGGTTTAGTAACAACGTGCATGAACAAGTTAAAGTTATTTTTTTTAAGTGAAACTTTTTACGGGAGGGCTTTGAAATTCTGATCTGCAACCTTTTTGAGTGGGGGGGGAGTAAAAACTCCGTCCCGCGTCATTCAGGTCTACTGGTCGGTCATACAAATCGCGAACGCAGGCCATTACATACCATAAAGTATATAGTAATACAATTACAAGATTATAACGGTCTTTCGTTTAAATACTATATAATCTATTAATTTTATTTAAGACAGTTACCAAGGTACAAGTATTTATTTTAGAAAGAGTGATCTCATTTGAGTAATAGCGCCATCTACTACATTTTCTACGTACCTCCATGATAGTCAATCAATTTTGGTTCGATATAATGACTTTACTTATAGAACGCAGTAGATGGCACTATTAAAAAGTGAACAAGGGAGTAATTTTTGAAGCCCAATAAGGCAAAGCAGCGATTATTTTAAATGAGAATTTGTAAATTTTCATTTAAATAAATTTTTGTTGCATTACATAAAGCTTTAGTTATATTAAAATAAAATTACATAAAAAATGACTTAAATAATAGATAATTACCTAATTAACAAACTTTAATGAGTATTTTGTGTTATACTGGGATCTATAATTACTTTATTCATTGTGGTGAGTCCTAGTGTTGCCTAAGCCGATAACTTCTCTTCTTAAGATCAAAGAAGATGTGGCACTGTGTATTTATTTTTATGTAAATAAATAGATGACATACATAATCTGTGCTATTCAAAAGTCATTGATGAATAATTGAAATGTTTCTCTGTAATACAAAAGCTTCTCTTGTATCATGGGTCTTCACAATACACACTGTTTTTTTTATAGCAAAGGGTGACAAACGAGCACACAGTCAACCTGATGGTAAGTGGATACTGTGGCCCAGAGACATCTACATTGCCCTGAGGACTAAGATGGAATGCCTCCTTTCCAGTAAAACGGGTCTCCGGTTCTCCACACTCACCATACGAAACACAGCAGCAAGAAGCTGCTATTTTAGGCTGGTATTCTGTGAGAGCATGGTCCTACCCCGGTCTAACTATCCTGTTCGTGATACAACTATACTATTAATATAGCTGCAGCATGGCTCTACCACATCTAAAATATATATAATATGGTGTTCAGCATCTGGGAATTTATTACCACTTACACATTCGATAGTGCAGTAGTTAAGATTTTCAAATTGCAGAAAACATAAGACAACAAAACTTAATTAGGGCGTGTCTTTGGTTTTATTAAAAAATAAAGGAAGAAAAGATCATGCGATTTAACTAATGGAAAGTGACAACATGTACATTTGAAACACCAGATGGGTTGCGGATTTGATGTTGAAGATGTTGGCTCTGTTGGTCTTAGTTAATCAATGCCCAGTTAATGATAAAAAACATAACTTACTTGCATATCCTATCCAGTAGCATAGGGTCTGGGAAATTCAATGTTGCCATTGAAAACAGTAAATCGGCAGATTTTTTCAGGTCTATAGGTTCAGACAGGTTGGTGATGTTGTAAGAAAGAGCTCGGAGGAGAGGTGTGCTGCGGCGACCTTTTTGGTGTAAAGCTTTCATTACCTGCAAAAGAAGTAACATATGAAAAAAAGAGACGAGGTAACACAGGTAATAAGTGCTCGCCCATTGTCACTGAAATTATTGAGTGAATTATTAATTTTAATTGCTTTATCATGTGCTCTGTGGTAAAAGAAAACATCATGAAGAAACTTAAAAGTCTGAGAAATTTGAATAAAATTGAATACAGCCCTCCCCTTTGAGGGTTTACCACGTGGTAGAGCCATGCTGCAGCTATATTAGTAACTAGCTGTGCCCGCGGCGTAGCTCGCGTATACAGGTTTTACATATAGAATTTGTCGTTTAGGTAACAGAATATTAAACGATTTATTTCATTACTGTATCAATAAGCGGTAACTAAATAAATCATTATCATCAAAGTTCTAAGTCGTTTATGATAGAGCTTCTGTGTAAACGACGTTAGAAGTAGGCTTAGCCGGAGTGTACACAAAAAGGTTACGGAGGCTACTAACGCGGGAAAAAGCAACATAGAGTTGGCCATGTGCAAAACAGTCAGTACTGAGGTACACGCGCGTAAAGTTAGACCTTGCGCTTTATTTACGGTCATCGCATAACACACGCTCACTGTAACTGGGAACTGAACGCGCTTAAAACTGAAAGGAAAGTTACTTCTTAATAGAGGGTTTTTGGGCAGTGCTGCCAGATAAAAAAAAACTCATTCAGCTCTAGGACAACACAAAAAGCGCTAGATTTCAAGAAAACAGCGCTTTAAAAAAGCCCTAGATTTCGCGCTAAATTAACTACAAACTAAGTTTGTGTTTTTTTTATATAATCATAATAAAGAAGACAACATTAAGTTTTTTTTCTGGCAATATTTTTTTTTGAACTAAATTACTGATAAACTGCAATGTACTATTTGTGGAAAAAAATAATAAAGGTCATTATTATTATTATCGGTAATGTGGACTAACAGCGCTGCTATAAAGGAGTTAATAACCCGCTAGTCGCTAAAATATTGAAATGTGTGCTAAATACACCAAAAAGCGTTGGATTAAGCTAGGTGCTAAAATTTCGAAATGCGCGCTATACATTCCAAAAAAGCGCTAAATCTAGTTCCCAAAGCGCTAAAATGGCAGTACTGATTTTGCGTATATTATAAATACAATATCACGACATTTCGTTGCAAAATTTTTATATTTGGTCGGGTTCCGTTGTATGGCTTCGATGGATACAAATTTCTTCAGTAAGTCTCAATACGATTCATCGGCGAAAAATCTCAACACAGCAATTCAGAAAAGTTTGTAATTTGTACAACTCCATCTATTACGTCCTTTGTGTGAGAAAACATCCTTTTTAAATCTCTTTTTGTGTTTTAAGTATAAATATATTAATTATTATGGAACGTTTTTTTTTACACACAAATCTTTTTATTACTATTTCTGAGATTTTATGGCGCCATTGAACAAATTCGAACCTACATTTCAAAATAATAATCATTACTTTCGATAGAATTAACCAATTTTAATAAAACAAAGATTAAATGAAATCGAAGATACGCTTTATGATTTTCTTAACGATTTCTTTGAAAATAAAAGATGTTTACTTTAGACGTGATGCGTTCATATAATAACAGACAAATAGACAGACAGACAATTCTAAAAATTATAAAATGTTCTTATTTAATTATTTTCAGTTCCCCATAATGATTTTAGCCACCAAAATATATATACAATGTATAGAAAGAGACACAAAATGTTATCATCATTTTTATTATATGTATATATTTAAAGAGAGATGGCGCTGCTAACATCAATTCTAAAAATAAAAGAGATTAATTGACGCGATTGATACATTATATAAAACGCAAGAGAACTTATAATCAGTGCCTGCACAGTAAGCAAAAAATAAAGTTTGACTCTCGCCAACGCAATTGTTAATAGTTTTTTTAAAATTTGATTTACCACATAGGGTACTCGGCGGTAAAGAATAAATTGAGTTTGTCAAGACGCAGTAGGGCAGCGAGTAATATAATAAAGATTAGCAGTAAATATGAAAACTCATCTACAGGAAAAAATCACATTGCAATTGCATTACATTTTCACAACACCACCATCTATCGAAGAAATGGGTTAACTATTGTGCTTCAGATTTATTTAGTTAATAAGGTTAATATATTTTTGTATAATATATTTAATACGTTCTTTAATACTTTTGTTTACTGCGTTTTAGATATACATAATTATATCATTATTTTACATAATTTAACTATGATTTATGATATGATATTAGTTTAAAATGCACTTGATGACTCAAACAAAGCCACCATTGAGCAAATTCGTACCTATACTTCCCTACCCATACTTTAGATTATTTATCATAACTTTTGATGGAATGAACTGATTTTAATGAAATAAAGACTAAATGTAACCCGAAGATACACTTTATAATTTCCTTAACAATTCTTATGATATAAATTAGTACTTTATACATGATACGTTAACAAACAAACAGACAGACAGACAGACAGAAAATTCTAAAAATGGTAGAAATGTATTTAATTACTTATTTTTAGTACCCCTCAATCACTTTTATTACAAAAATATAAAATGTAAAGACATCTGCTATTTACAGTTTTATTATATGTATAGATATAGTTGTAGCACGAATGGGTCGCCGTGACCGGGGAAGGACCACGCTCTCACAGAATACCAGCGTAAAATAGCAGCTTAACACTGCTGTGTTTCGTATGGTGAGTGTAGAGAACCGCAGACCCTTTTTACTGCTAAAGAGGCATTCCATCTTAGTACTCACGGGTGACAACGCATCTGCATTTTGATTCTTTATCGAGGATAGATGTGGATGTCTATGGGTCACAGCAACCACTTCCCATCAGCTGGTCTGTGTGCCCGTTTGTCACCCTATCCTATAATAAAACAGCTGGCGAGGGCAATGTACAAGTAAGACTCTACTTCCATTACCATTTTATTACAGCCTATAAAATCTGTGTGTTTGTCTGTGGCATCCTAGCTCCCAAACAGATGAACCGATTTAGTTTTAGTTTTTTCGTTTTGTTTGAAAGGTGACTTGATTCTTTGAGAATGTTCTTAGATATGATTCAAGAAATTTTTTTCAGCCGTTTGAAGATCATCAGCTTTTTTTGTTTCGGGGGGTTTTTTAAATTCTCAATTTAAGTATTTACCATAGCCACCTCTTACAACACATATGGGAAAGTTGGGGTAATGGATCCTCTTAGAAAAGAGTTGGCAACCTCTTAAACTGCCACTGCACTGTAGTGGAAATACTATTAATTTACAAAAGTTAATCTATTTAACAGAACCCACCTTAATCATTTGGGACAGTGACAGATTACCTATCAATCTGGCAGCTTCGTCATCTCCAGTAATACCCAAAACTGTACTAAGATCTTCTGCCATTGCTAGAGAACTGATGTCTTGAGAGGAAGATCTTGCTAGAATTCTACACAACTTAAGAAACCGCGGGTCTTTCTCAAAGTCTGTCAGTTTCACTTTGCTGCTGCTTGACCACTCTGAGAGGATTGATACCATCTGAAATGAATGCAAAATTTAAGTAAAAAAAAAAAACAATAAAAATTGGCTCAGTGTAGAGGTAGGGTTTCGTAGTTGCCCATCACAATATGTGGGCTTTCTTAATAATGAGCATAATGAGTGTGTTCGCGCCAAACGCTGTTGTCGGAATCGACGTCTAGGGGGCGCGCGGCTCTGGGCCATACCGGTTTTTGACGTCGGCCGAGCGGTGGGCTGAGAACGCGTAAAGGCGAAGTAGTCGTCTGCTAGCTGTGCTAATGTCTGTACGCTGTCAATTTTTGTTAGGGAACTCGGAATAATTAGGCGCGGCCCGTAAATATACTGTCTAGGATTTTGTGACGCGCATTCCTGCTGGAGAGCTTCCCAGGGACTCATTGTGTCAGACTCAGAATCTGCATAGGTGCATTCGGCAATATTAGCTAGTGCGGCCGTTAATATTCTAGAACTAACTGTTACTACGCGAAACGGTAGTGACCTTTGATCCGTAAACTCCGTGTGCGTTTTGTGCGTTAACCTTATACCCAGCGATAGTTAGTGGCTTCTGTAAGTTAGTTAATCGTGACGAACGAGGAAAGTGACTGTGGACAACGCCTCGGAAGGCCCCCTCAAGTTGGAGCGGTGTCGACGCTCGGGCTGCTGCCGACGGCCAAGGTCTAGCTTCAATCACCATCAGTCACACCCATATACACATCACATCACCTTATTTCCCTTGCACTACACAAACACATACGACCAGACCGACTCCGGAGGGATCAGGCGCCTTGTATATAGGTAAGTAAGCTCCGTCTGATTCCTCTGCCGGTCGACTGGCCGTAGTATAGAACGCTTCCCCATATATTTTAGTGTAATTAGAGAAATTCCACGTGGCCACATTGAGGCCCGACCTACGTCTGCTCGGGAAGTCTTCTGCTCATGGGTCCCGGAGGATTTGACCCTTTAAGGGAGCAGCCGTAGGCCGTAACAGAGTGAGTTCGTGATTTCATCGCTATAACTACTAAAAATGGGCCTAAGTAAGAAGATGGTAACTGAAGGACTTATTTTATATATTTTTATTTGTATTATATTTTATATGTATTATATTTTATAGACTTATAGGGAGTGGTATTCAAAAAAGATTAAAGAAAACTTTACAATTTTGATAATAATACAATTTAAATCAAGAAGTAATGTTGGACCTTCTGCTGACCTCTCATCCGGACGGATATCAGGTCTCCGTCGATGTCCCTCTGGGCTCTTCGGACCATTGTCCGATCCGGAGTAAGGTGCCACTCACGCTCCAATCGCAATTGCAATCTGCAGCTTGCCGCCGTGTTTGGCACTATAGGTCGGCCGATTGGGACGGGATGCGGTCTTTTTTTGCATCCTACTCTTGGGGGCGGGTTAGCTTCGCGCCGGATGATCCCAACGTTGTTGCTGATTCTGTCGCTGATGTGGTACTTCAGGGAATGGAATTATTTATTCCATCATCTGTGGTGCCTATTGGAGGCAGATCCCAGCCATGGTTTAGTCACTCCTGCAAAATTGCATCACGCTATAAGCAGGAGTGCTACCGAACCTGGGCCAATGCATCAACGTCCCAAGATGTAAATACCAGCGCTCTTAAAAAGAAGTATAATTCCGCCTCCAGGTCCTTCAAGTGTCATTGTCAAGGCAAAGTCAGAGCACATCGGCAGAATTGGCGAGAAACTAGTTCGCCTCCCTTCGGGTACACGTGCATTCTGGTCTCTCGCCAAGGCTGTCCAAGGGAACTTCTGTCAGCCATCTCTGCCATCTCTGCACAGGACGGACGACTCACTGGCCCATGCCGCAAAGGAGAAAGCCGATCTGCTAGGCTCTCTTTTTGCTTCCAACTCTACTCTAGATGACGGAGGAACACACCGCCGACCATCCCGCGGTGTGAGTGCTCCATGCAGGAAGTGCTGTTTACATAGCGCTCGGTGCGTAAAGCACTCCTCTCCCTGGACGTCAACAAGACGAGTGGGCCTGATGGAGTCCCACCTATTATGCTGAAGACGTGTGCTCCGGAGTTGGCACCGGTTTTAACGCGTCTTTTCCGGTACTCCTACTCCATCGGCGTAGTCCCGAACTCATGGAAGACAGCTTTGGTGCACCCGATCCCTAAAAAAGGCGACCGCTCAGATCCGTCCAACTATAGGCCTATTGCTATCACCTCCTTGTTCTCCAAAGTAATGGAAACCATTATTAACAGCCAGCTCATGCGGTACCTTGTAGATCACCAGCTGATTAGTGACCGCCAGTACGGTTTCCGTCGAGGTCGCTCAGCTGGTGATCTTTTAGGTTACCTAACTCATAGATGGGCGGAGGCAGTGCAGTCCAAGGGGGAGGTGTTGGCCGTTAGTTTGGACATAGCGAAGGCCTTCGATCGGGTTTGGCACAAAGCGCTTCTTTCGAAGCTCCCTTCCGATGGGCTTCCCAAGAAATTGTGCAATTGGATCACTAGTTTTCTTGCAGATCGGAGCATCAAGGTCGTAGTAGACGGTTTACAAGTCCATTAACGCTGGTGTTCCACAAGGCTGCGTGCTATCACCAACGCTGTTTCTTTTGCATATCAATGATATGTTGCAAACCAGTAACATTCATTGCTATGCGGACGACAGCACTGGTGATGCTTTATACACTGGCCGTGCCAATATTTCTCGGGAAAACGTCGCCGAGTACCGGAACAAACTTGTGTCTGAAGTCGAGACTTTGTTGAACAAAGTCTCAGACTGGGGTCGACTAAATCTAGTTCAGTTCAATCCCCAGAAGACACAAGTTTGCGCGTTTACCGCTAAAAAGAACCCCTTTGTCGTATCTCCTCAGTTTCAAGGCAATACCCTTGTTGCCTCAGCCAGTATCGGGATCCTTGGTGTCCACATATCGAGTGACGTGCAGTTTCGTGGTCACTTGGAAGAGAAGGCCAAATTGGCCTCTAAAATGCTTGGCGTGCTCAGCAGAGCGGGACAGTATTTCGTGCCAGCACACCGCTTGCAACTTTACAAGGCGCAGGTTCGGCCTCACATGGGATACTGTTCTCATCTCTGGGCAGGGGCTCCGAAGTGCCAGCTCCTTCTACTTGACCGCATCCAGCGCAGAGCGGTTCGAATCGTCGACGACCAAGTTCTTTCCAATCGGCTTGACTCATTGGCACTACGTAGAGATGTTGCATCTCTTTGCGTATTTTATCGCTTCTATCACGGGGAGTGCTCTGAGGAATTGTTTGGACTAATTCCAGCCGCCCAATTTCACCATCGCACATCGCGACAAAACTCGCGATACCATCCATACCATCTGGATGATTGGCGGTCCACCACTGTGCGATTTAGAAGTTTTCTTCCTCGCACAACTTCCTTGTGGAATCGATTACCACCAGCGATTTTTCCGGACCAATACAACTTAAGGACCTTCAAGAAAAGAGCCTACTCCTTTTTAAAAGGCCGGCAACGCATCGTCTCGTGTATCGAAGTCCCGGGACTTTCCGTAATTTAAGTTGTCTCGAGTCCCGGGACTTTCGGGTCAAGACTCGAGACGAGACAAGATTATCGAAATTGTTATGTAATTATTTTTATTTTCAAATAATTGAAGGAGCCTAGCGCCATGTGTTAGTTTAATGAATAATTACTTGGTCTACTACGTAACTACTGAGTACGCAACACAAATTAAACAAATATGTGATTATGGGAATTAACAACGAGATTATGAACTATGATTCGATACTAGAATTACTAGATAATAGTAAAGTTTTTAAGAATTAGTATGATCTTTAACTAAGATCGTTTCATAACTATAAGATTTAACTGTTAGAAGTGCATCTGTGTCTGACTAAAAAAAAAATAAACAAAGCAATTATTAAGACTGAAATTAACATTAAGGTTATTTAATTTTCTGTTTAATTGTTTAATAAATGTTGATTTTTACAAAAAATTGCCTCTTTTTAATACGTTTCACCAGAAATTATATCAACTAAAATTCATCAAAAAAGGCTTGCCCATCTTAAAAAATACAAAAACTTTTTCTTAAAAGTCTTGAAGTTCCGGGAACTCCCGGTACTTTGATTATAGGCTGTCCCGTGTCCCGGGACTTTGAAATAGTCAGGAATTCCCAAACCATAAACAATACCCCACACGATAGAACAGATGGGTAAAAAAATTATCCACCATTTACTTGTATTAGAGCTACCCAAATTTTTTTTCAGTTTTGTAGGCATAATTAATATCTATAACTATGCCAAATAACAGATTTGTAGCACCTAGGGTATCCGAGTAAAACTGCAGACAGACAGACATAGCAAAACTATAAGGGTTCCCTGTTGTGTAACTACAGAACACTAAAAACTATATAGACAGATATATAGCTATACATGAAAGCTATGTAAAAGCTATTACCATAATAGTGGATCTGCTGACCAGTCAAACTAGTAAAAATTATAAAATAATTGGATGGTATGCATCTTATTACTCATGCATTTCATGTATCTTAAATCTTAACTCATATCAAGTATAGGAGAGTATCAGTAAATAATATCACAGTTTCTTGTAACACCATATTTTAAAATTAACTAAAAATAGACATAATTTGAACCTATGCTTGCTCTTATAATCAGACACTATTATCTGCCCTGTGATCATGGCTTGTCTCCATTGAGACTGATTGCCGTGACCAAACTTTGGTCCTAAGGACATTTTTACAAGAATAAGATAAATTTAAACAAACATTACATAAAATCTTAAAAGGTTGTGAACTAGAATAAATCATAAACAATATATTTAAGAATTATATGACCATAATGTGTATAATAATTACCTTCAAAGCATGTCTTCTAGAAACTACAGAGTTTTCAGCTACCAGCAGAAGGGAATTAACATCATTTGCCTTCAATATTTGATGATCTAACATCTGGTTACGGTTTTGTTTCACTGACTTTGGGCTAGGCTTTCTTCTATCTTCTGTATCTGTTGAATTTAGTGCCGCAAATGCTGCTGCTAACAAACCTAACAGTTATTGTAAAAAAGCATATAGTTAATATAGAAATCATATTTTCCTTAATAAATATCAATAAAAATTTTAGTAAACTGTTTAATTTAAATTTGATATTTCATACCTCCATTTTCTTTGACATCTGCTACTTCATTATTGCCATTTTTATCAGAGATGGCTTTAGAAGACTCAAAATTCTGTGTTTTGAATACAGATGCGCTAGCACTGGAATACTTTCTTATCATCGCTCGGGATCCTAACCTCCAAATTATTAACCCGTGGAATTTCAACATCTAGAAAAAATATAATTGCATCAATATATGAAGGGAAAAATGTGCTATATTTAATATAAAAGAGACACTAATTTATAAAATAAAAACACGAGAGAACACAAAAATAATATAATAATCGTATTCTTACATCACTACTAAAAGCTAAACAAGGTGTTGAATAAAAGTCAGAAGTAATAATATAGTAATAAAAATAAATGATAACTCTAGATAATTACCTTTACAGTATAATATAATTATTTATATTGTTTAAAAAACAACAAAATTTTACATCGGAAATTCGGAAAATACAATGTATATATTTTTGACAGATGTCGTTTCGGTGTTGTAAGTTGAACGTTGAAAGTCCCAATTGGTCCCAATCGTGTACATATCTATGGTTCCGCATATTTATTATTTATAAGGCCGGGAAAAAAGTTTCTTCGTATTTTATATACAAATACATTTCTTTTTTCAAAGTAGAATTACATTAAGTTATAATATATATTATGACTTTTGTACAATAACTTGTTGCTACCTTATAGGTAGTGCTATAATCCCGTTGCTGTATAAATCTTGGGATTTTTGATCAAAATAATGCGACAAGTAGTTTTGATAGTTAACTCTTGATGATAAACTAACACAACCCAAAGATTTCTGAAGAGTCCAAAACAGATGAAAATCTGAAGGTGCAAGGTCAGATCTATATGGTGCATGCATTAATACTTCCCAACCAAGCTCTCTCAATTTTTGTGATGTCTCAAACATGTGTGTGGTCCAGCGTTATCATGATGATAGACCATTCTTTTTCTGTTGATCAATTCCGGCTGTTTTCCTCATTTTATTGCTTGAGTCTTATTAGTTGTTAGCAGTAGAGATCTGAATCGACCATACACAAATCATCACCTTATTGCGTGTTAATCCGGGTTTTGTTACAGTCTGTGGAGCTTGACTACCATTTGACCATTATCTTTTTCGCACGTTCTTGTCGTAGGTGATCCGCTTTTCATCGCCAGTGATTAATCGTTTCAAAAATGGTTCGCTTTCATTACGTTTCAATTCAATATAGAATCGCAAATTAGTACACGATTCATTAGGTTTCTTTCAGTGTACTCATGTGGTACCCAAAAATCGAGCTTTTTTGTATAGCCAGACTTTTTCAAATGAGTTTAAACTATTTTGTGGTCAATCGTCAATTCCTTGGCTATGTTGTAACTACTAATATGGCGCTCTTGCTCCACTTTTTCGAAAATGGTATCGACTTTATCCGTATAAGGGCGGCCAGAGCAGCTGCATTTTTTATATCACAATTCCCAGACTGAAAACACTTGAAATAACTTTGTGCTACTTCTTACTGACACTGCATTAGCTATATAAACGTTACAAATTTTTTTCGCGGATTTGGTTCCTTTTTTTGTAATAAAACTTCAGAATGTATCGAATTTCTTCATTAGATTCACTCATTTTGGCGGATAGAAAAACAATTGAAAAATGGCGGGAAAATATTCTTTACTTTTTATTTTTCTTTTTCATAACGTCCTACATGTACTGATATTAAAACCAGCCAGATACAAACAGTACAACCATGGAGATTTTTCTTCAATTTTATAGAAACAATATGCGAAGAAACTTTTTCCCCGACCTATTATGTACTTATTTTTACAAAGTATAGTTATAACATAACAACTTCCGACAGTACAAACAGACTTACAAAAGTTTCTCCATTTACCGCCGATTCGTAATTTCAATCATGTTCAATCGGTTCGCGTTCATACAAATGGTGTAACAAAACAGCAATTTTTTTTTAACTAGGTGTGTATCAATGCAAACCATAGTTAGTGAGTATGATAAATGAAAATTAATAATTGAGATAATAATGTATTAATTGTGTGTATCTATGTATAATTGTGTGTATATTTATTAGTATATTTTTATTGTGATGTGTGTTAGTGGATATGGTTTTATTTTTATTACAAGTTATTAGTAGCGGTCGTTCATAATTTGTCGACAAAACCCTGTTTAATCCTATATTTAATTTTTTATTTTCAGTTGTTTCATTGCAAATGATGCCTTGTAAAGTAAGCTTTGAATAAGTATGGCTAGTTTTTAATTCTTCCATCCTATAATTTTCAAGCAGCAATAGGTACATATTTCACTTTGTCGTGTTCTGGTAGTATTTTTCAATGATGGAGAAGACCATAAGGTTTTTTTTATATTTTCTTTTATTTTGAGAATGGTGATACATTTAAAGATGCGTAATTGTACCTCGTATAATTTTTCAAGGTGGACTTTATAAGTGCATTCATAACTGCTCAACCCGTACGAAACGAATGATTTGCAAAGTGCGTTATATAGTAACAGTAGCATCTGGTAAGGTACTTTACTCTTGATGAGGAAAAATTTTGCTAGGATTGCTGGATCACAATTTTTAACCTAAATACCTAAATTTTTCTACTATTTCAATATGTGGATATTCACAGTTGTTATTATGGGTTGAACTTTGGATATTATGAAGACATGTGTGATTATGAGCTATAAGAATGATGTTATGTTTTAATCTATTTTGACTCGAGCTAACGTATATAATTTTAGTCCTTTTCGAATTAAGTACAAGACTTGCGTTATGTGACCACTGCATTAGTCCTGTATAAGTTTTTTTAATTAATTTATAGTTACCTATCATATACTTGTACGCCAGTACATTCTAAGTCTATGGTTGTAACTAACTTGTCTAAAGGCTTGGATCGTAGAGGATTGTCCTAAGATAAAATAAGTACGTACTATCTAATGATAATATTCATAATATATAAAAATATCATACTAAGTCATACGCATGTTCGGATAATACGTCAATGAGTAAAAAATTCATAGTTTTAAGGTTTATGCAAAGTTTATGATCTAGTTGTTATCAGCGCTGCCAGATGAAGTTATTGTTTAGAAATTTCATTTATTTGTATTCCGTTTGTACTCTGCACACAAATGAATGAAATAAAAACACAAAACTATTTTTTTATTTATGATACCTCTTGAAAATTTAAATCCAGAAACTGCATTAAACTTACGAAATTTGAAATTTGCATATAGAACATCGTACCTCAAAAATGAAAATTTGTTACACTCTTAGCACAAACTAATAAGAAGTGCTAGCGCAACTCTAGGACTTTACAGGAGTCCTCTAAGATTTTACAGAAGTCACTATATTATGTATACAAATAAATAAAATTGAAGTGTCTGTTCGTAATATCAAAATTACAGCTTTTTACTAAGTGTATATGAAAGTATATACAATTTATCTCCCAAACGTTTGAATCGATTTTGACGGGCTGTTGTCATAAGGAGTAACTTAGGCTACTTTTATTTTAGAAAAAGAATTAGGGTTCCGCGCAGAAGAAATATTAAAACCCCAAATAACAAGCGGCCGAAGTCACGAGGAATAGCTAGTTATGAATAAGAACAAATTTTCTTAAAAATTACTACGAAAATCCACTAAAATTGGTTAAATTAATTTATTGCTTCGAATTATACATAATAGCTACAATAATAACTTCAGGTTTGATGTTGTCGTAACAAAACTTAAAAACGCTTTCTGTTATATATAAAAAAAGAAAAACATTGGTTTAAGTGATATAATGATTGAAGGTTATTAATAATAAGACCATACTTTTACTTGGGCCAATTACCCAAATATATTGTATATAAACTGATATAAACCAATTACTTCACTATATAATCACACAGGCTACTGAGTAAGGTAGTTTACAGGATATGATCAAATCTAGCACCAAAGATAGTAACTGTCCTATACAGGAATCTAGCACTAATACGCACTTGGCTTAAGCTCGTGCTATTAGTAAAACCGGTAAAAGCCGAGATCTAACACTAAATAAATAAAAATAACAATCTTTATTTGCTTAACATTGAAATATAATTTCTTTCTTTTTTTTATATGATAGGGTGACAAACGAGCACACAGTCCACCTGATGGCAAGTGGTTGCCGTGGCCCATAGACATCTACATCTATCCTCGTTTGCGAATCAAAATGCAGATGCGTTGTCACCCGTGAGGACTAAGATGGAATGCCTGTTTTCCAGTAAAAAGGGTCTCCGGTTCTCTACACTCACCATACGAAACACAGCAGTGTTAAGCTGCTATTGGACGCTGGTATTCTGTGAGAGCGTGGTCCTTCCCCGGTCGAGCCGACCCATTCGTGCTACAACTATACTACTAATATAGCTGCAGCATGGCTCTCTACCACGTACAATTTCTCTTTGTATCCTGTGAGTTTTAAACATTTTATGTTTCAAAATATTACTAAATAATTATTAATTATATTTTGGAGGTATCTGCTATCTGGAGCTGGCAGCCCTGTGATATAAGTTGCAATAGGGATGACCAAGAGAAAAAATATATCGATATATATCGAATCTATATTTTTTAAACAGTATCGATATATATAAATAGTAATATAAAATTTGGAACTTATAACATTAGCATGATGTAAAGATAAGGTCCAAATTTTACATTACCGACGGTTGAACGACGAAAAAACAACGACAACCAACAACACATGAATACTTTTGTTATTACATGTTTTGTCTTTAATACAACATTTTAAAATATATAGATATTGATATGAATTCTATACTGTAAATAAATATTGAAATGTCGTGATTTAAAATATCAACGATATATATCGATATTTTTATTAAAAAAATGAAAAAATATCCATATGTCGATATATCGATATGTTTTGCCCAGGCCTATATTGCAAGCGGTCGTGTGGGTGGGAGATTTGTTGTTGTGAATTTTGAAATAAATTTAATTCCCTATGTTGGAATTTATAAAATAAGAATAGATAGTGTGAAAATGGTAAGTACCTAACTATTTATGATAATGATCTGCAATTTCTAATAAGATGAAATGACAAAGTTTTGTATGACATGCACTTTGTAAATGCTGTTCGATCTTACAAATTTTGCCGAAATGTTTACCAGGTACATCTCTAAGAACATTTTTATACTTCATTGGGAACTTACTACGTAAAACGTATAAATCTGAGTCCATCGTCCTTAATTTTTTATGTGAATATTATATAAATAGGCATATTATAATTACATTCTACCTGCAGGTTAAGTGCAGTGTTTTCTTGGTCATGTCAAAACGTTATCAAATTTGTGCTCTTGTAATTTGCAACAGATCATAATTTGTGGCATATATAATTTATTTATCTATAAATTTAATTGTTTGTGTAATTTTTCTTGATGTGATTCATAGATTTTAAGGACTAGGTCTTACATGTCGC